GCATCTTGCAGTGTGCGCCTCTCCATTCTTCTTCCATACTCTGGGTCCTTGGTTTCCAAATGAGATGCAAAAGTTGCTCTCATCAGAAAAGAGGACTTTGGATCACTGAGCAACAGACCAGGTCTGTTTTTCTTTAGCCCAGGTAAGACGCTTCTGACGTTGTTTGTTGTTCAGGAGCGGCTTGACAAGAGGAATACGACATTTGAAGCCCATGTCCAGGATCCGTCTGTGTGTGATGGCTCTTGATGCACTGACTCCAGCCTCAGTCCACTCCTTGTGAAAGTCCCCAACACTTTTGAATGGCCAATCCTCTCCAGGCTGTGGTCATCCCTGCTGCTTGTGCACTTTTTACTTCCACACTTTTCTCTTCCACATAACTTTCTATTAATGGGCTTTGATACAGCAATTTGGGAACATCCAACTTCTTTTGCAATTACCTTTTGAGGCTTTCCCTCCTTATGAAGGGTGTCAGTGATGGTTTTTCTGCACAACTGTCAGGTCAGCAGTCTTTCCCATGATTGTGATTCCTAATGAACCAGACTGAGAGACCATTTAAAGGCTCAGGAACCCTTTGCTGGTATTATGGCTTAATTAGCTGATTAGAGTGGGACACTTTGAGCCTAGAATATTGCACCTTTTCACAATATTCTAATTTTTCTGAGGTTTGTGGATTTGGGGTTTTCATGAGCTGTAAGCCATAATTAGAGATGAGCGAATTATTCAAAAATTCGATTCGGCTGATTCGCCGAATTTGTGGAATAAATTTGATTCGCTGCGAATTTATTCGCTGCGAATTTAACTTATAAAAAGGGTTTCTAGGCTTCAGAGAGCCTTTATATTAGTGCAGAACACTGTACCTTTAATTTAAATGCCCTTGGAGTCTGCTGGGGAAGAGAAATAATACTGTCAGTCAGTATGACATGCAGATGAGTGCCGTCGATCTTAGAATCACCGCACACTTCACTCATTTGGGCAGTCACGGGGCCAAAACCAGAGTGTGGAGCCACAGTGTGGCGGTGGAGGAAGCAGTAATGGTAGGATGAGGATGAAGAAGAAGAAGTAGGATGAGGATGAAGAAGAAGAAGAAGAGAAGTAGGATGAGGATGAAGAAGAAGAAGAAGTAGGATGAGGATGAAGAAGAAGAAGGAGAGGAAGAAGAAGTGAGGATGAAGAAGAAGAAGAAGAAAAGAAGAAGAAGAAGAAGTAGGATGTAGGATGAAGAAGAAGAAGAAGAAGTAGGATGAGGAGGAAGAAGAAGAAGAAGAAGAAGAAGAAGAAGAAGTAGAGAAGAGGATGAAGAAGAAGAAGAAGAAGTAGGATGAGGAAGAAGAAGAAGAAGTAGGATGAGGGAAGAAGAAGAGGAAGAAGGATGAGGATGAAGAAGAAGAAGAAGAAGAAGAAGTAGGATGAGGATGAAGAAGAAGAAGAAGAAGTAGGATGAGGATGAAGAAGAAGAAGAAGAAGAAGAAGAAGTAGTAGAGATGAGATGAAGAAGAAGAAGAAGAAGAAAGAAGTAGGATGAGGATGAAGGGGAGAGGAAGAAGAAGAAGTAGGATGAGGATGAAGAAGAAGAAGAAGAAGTAGGATGAGGATGAAAGAGAAGAAGAAGAGGATGGAGGAGGATGAGGAAGAAGAAGAAGAAGAAGAAGAAGAGAGGATGGATGAGGATGATGAAGAAGAAGAAGAAGAAGAAGTAGGAGATGAGGAAGGAAAGAAGAAGTAGAGATGAGGAGGGGAAGAAGAAGAAGAAGAATAGGATGAGAGATGAAGAAGAAGAAGGAAGAAGAAGAAGAAGAAGATGAGGATGAAGAAGAAGAAGTAGGGGGGAGGATGAAGAAGAAGAAGAAGTAGGATGAGGAAAGAAGAAGAAGAAGAAGTAGGGGTGAGGATGAGGATGAAGAAAGGAAAAGAAGAATGATGAGGATGAAGAAGAAGAAGAAGTAGGATGAGGATGAAGAAGAAGAAGAAGTAGGCTGAGGATGAAGAAGAAGAAGAATAAGAAGAAAGAAGTAGGATGAGGATGAAGAAGAAGAAGAAGTAGGATGAGGATGAAGAAGAAGAAGTAGGATGAGGATGAAGAAGAAGAAGAAGAAGTAGGATGAGGATGAAGAAGAAGAAGAAGAAGAAGAAGATAAAAACATCTGTATCCTAAATGGAAACAAATAGATACAATGTTTCAACTGCTGTAAATGTGAAGGAACTGTCAGAGAACTGTCAAAAATAGCGGAGCTCTCTACAGGGACACTTTTTGCCGGGGGGGCTGTAGAAGGGATGAAAATCGGCGGATCGGGGAAAATTCGATTCGTGCATCCGAAGTTTGCTAATATTCGGATTCGGCACGAAACGAATTTTTTCCTAATATTCTAAACGAATTCCACTTCGCCAGGTTTGATTCGCTCATCTCTAGCCATAATCATCACACTTATGACAAATCACGGCTTGAACTATCTTGCTTTGCATGTAAAGAGTCTATCTCATATATTAGTTTCACCTTTTAAGTTGCATTTAGAGATGAGCGAAATCGAAGTAGGCGAAGTGGAATTCGAGTCGAATATTGGAAATTTTTCCTAAAATGGCGGCGGACATGTGCGGCGACGGAGCGGGGATGTCTGGGAAGGCGCGCAGACAAGGCGCGCTGACCCATAATGCATTCCTTAATGACATGTGATCGCATTAGCCAATCAGCAGCCAGGCAGCCAGCACTGTGTAATGGTCGAGCTATAAATAGCGGCCATTTTAGAATTCTTCATTTGCCTCCAGTCATTCAAGAGAGGCAGACCGCTCTGTATTAGGGACAGAGTTAGGGACACAGAAACGTACTTGGGGACAGAGAAACGTTACTTAGGGACAGAGAAGCATTACTCAGGGACACAGAATTGTTAATGAGGGCCACAGAAAAGTTACTTAGGGCCAAATAAACGCTAGTTAGGGCCACAGAATTGTTACTCAGGGACAGACAGAATTGTTACTGAGTGCCAGAGAATTGTTACTTAGGGCCACAGAAACGTTAGTTAGGGCCACAGAATTGTTACTCAGGGACAGACACAGAATTGTTACTGAGGGCCACAGAACTGTTACTTAGGGCCACAGAAACGTAATTAGGGCCACAGAATTGTTACTCAGGGACAGACAGAATTGTTACTGAGTGCCAGAGAATTGTTACTTAGGGCCACAGAAACGTTAGGGCCACAGAATTGTTACTCAGGGACAGACACAGAATTGTTACTGAGGGCCACAGAACTGTTACTTAGGGCCACAGAAACGTTATTAGGGCCACAGAATTGTTACTCAGGGACAGACAGAATTGTTACTGAGTGCCAGAGAATTGTTACTTAGGGCCACAGAAACGTTAGTTAGGGCCACAGAATTGTTACTCAGGGACAGACACAGAATTGTTACTGAGGGCCACAGAATTGTTACTTAGGGCCACAGAATTGTTACTCAGGGACAGACAGAATTGTTACTGAGTGCCAGAGAATTGTTACTTAGGGCCACAGAAACGTTACTCAGGGACACAGAATTGTTACTCAGGGCCACAGAACTGTTACTTAGGGCCACAGAAACGTTAGTTAGGGCCACAGAATTGTTACTCAGGGGCCACAGAAACAGTTGTTACTTAGGGCCACACATTGTTACTGAGGCCACGTTGGGCTTACCAGGGACAGCACAGAATTGTTACTGAGGGCCACAGAATTGTTACTGAGGGCCACAGAATATGTTACTTAGGGCCACAGAAACGTTACTCAGGGACACAGAATTGTTACTGAGGGCCACAGAACCGTTACTTAGGGCCACAGAATTGTTACTCAGGGACAGCCACAGAATTGTTACTCAGGGACACAGAATTGTACTGAGGGACACAGAAATTGTTACTTTGCTTACTGAGGCCACAGAAACGTTACTCAGGGACACAGAATTGTTACTGAGGGCCACAGAACCGTTACTTAGGGCCACATAATTGTTACTCAGGGACAGACACAGAATTGTTACTGAGGGACCACAGAATTGTTACTGAGGGCCACAAAACGTTACTTAGGGCCACAGAATTGTTACTCAGGGACACACAGAATTGTTACTGAGGGGGCCACAGAACCGTTACTTAGGGCCACAGAATTGTTACTCAGGGACACAGAATTGTTACTGAGGGCCACAGAACCGTTACTTAGGGCCACAGAATTGTTACTCAGGGACAGACACAGAATTGTTACTGAGGGACACAGAATTGTTACTTAGGGCCACAGAAACGTTAATCAGGGCCACAGAATTGTTACTTAGGGCCACAGAACCGTTACTTAGGGCCACAGAATTGTTACTCAGGGACACAGAATTGTTACTTAGTTAGGGCCACAGAACCGTTACTTAGGGCCACAGAATTGTTACTCAGGGACAGACACAGAATTGTTACTGAGGGACACAGAATTGTTACTTAGGGCCACAGAAACGTTAATCAGGGACACAGAATTGTTACTGAGGGCCACAGAACCGTTACTTAGGGCCACATAAAAGTTAATCAGGGACACAGAATTGTTACTGAGGCCACAGAACCGTTACTACTTAGGGCCACAGAATTGTTACTCAGGGACAGACACAGAATTGTTACTGAGGGACACAGAGAATTGTTACTGAGGGCCACAGAACCGTTACTTAGGGCCACAGAAACGTTAATCAGGGACACAGAATTGTTACTGAGGGAACCACAGAACCGTTACTTAGGGCCACAGAATTGTTACTCAGGGACACAGAATTGTTACTGAGGGCCACAGAATTTACTGTTACTTAGGGACACAGAATTGTTACTCAGGGACAGACACAGAATTGTTACTTGAGGGACACAGAATTGTTACTGAGGGACCACAGAATTGTTACTTTAGGGCCACAGAAAACGTTACTCAGGGACACAGAATTGTTACTGAGGGCCACAGAAACCGTTACTTTAGGGCCACAGAATTGTTACTCAGGGGACACAGAATTGTTACTCAGGGACACAGAATTGTTACTGAGGGCACACAGAATTGTTACTGAGGGCCACAGAATTGTTACTCAGGGACACAGAATTGTTACTTAGGGACACAGAATTGTTACTGAGGGCCACAGAACCGTTACTTAGGGCCACAGAATTGTTACTCAGGGACACAGAATTGTTACTGAGGGCCACAGAATTGTTACTTAGGGCCACAGAATTGTTACTCAGGGACACAGAATTGTTACTGAGGGCCACAGAACCGTTACTTAGGGCCACAGAAATTGTTACTTAGGGACAGACACAGAATTGTTACTCGAGGGACACAGAATTTTACTTAGGGCCACAGAATTGTTACTTAGGGACACACAGAATTGTTACTGAGGGACCACAGAATTGTTACTCAGGGACAGACAGAATGTTACTGAGGGACACACAGAATTGTTTACTGAGGGACCACAGAACCGTTACTTAGGGCCACAGAATTGTTACTTAGGGACACAGAATTGTTACTGAGGGCCACAGAATTGTTACTACAGGGACAGAATTGTTACTCAGGGACACAGAATTGTTACTTCACAGAGGGACACAGAATTTGTTACTCAGGGACACAGAAACCGTTACACAGAATTTAGGGCCACAGAAATTGTTACTTAGGGACACAGAATTTTACACAGAGGGCCACAGAACCGTTACTTAGGGGTCCACAGAATTGTTACTCAGGGGACACAGAATTGTTACTGAGGGCCACAGAAACCGTACTTAGGAGCCACAGAATTGTTACTTAGGGACACAGAATTGTTACTGAGGGCCACAGAACCGTTACTTAGGGGCCACAGAATTGTTACTCGAGTGGCACAGAATTGTTTACTTAGGGACAGACACAGAATTGTTACTGAGGGACACAGAAACTTACTGAGGGAACCACAGACAGAATTGTTACTCAGGGACAGACACAGAATTGTTACTGAGGGCCACAGAACTGTTACTTAGGGCCACAGAATTGTTACTCAGGGACACAGAATTGTTACTGGACCACAGAAGAATTTGTTACTTTAGGGCCACAGAATTGTTACTCAGGGACACAGAATTGTTACTCAGGGGCCACAGAACTTACTTAGGGACCACAGAATTGTTACTCAGGACAGACACAGAATTGTTACTCAGGGACACAGAATTGTTACTGAGGGCCACAGAACCGTTACTTAGGGGCCACAGAAACGTTACTCAGGGACACAGAATTGTTACTGAGGGCCACAGAATTGTTACTTAGGGCCACAGAATTGTTACTCAGGGACAGACACAGAATTGTTACTGAGGGACACAGAATTGTTACTGAGGGCCACAGAACCGTACTTAGGGCCACAGAATTGTTACTCAGGACAGACAGAATTGTTACTCAGGGACAGACAGAATTGTTACTCAGGGACACAGAATTGGGAGGGACACAAATCGTTGAATTAAAGAGTATGTCAGACAACATGCAGAGGAGTGGCAGAGGAGGCAATGTTTTAGGAGCGAGCAGACGTGGCAGCAGAGGAAGGGGTCGAGGCAGCACTATTCGCAGCCAGAGGCCAGTGCTCCCGGTGTCATCCAGCGGTCGTGTCTCCACCGACAACCCTGCCGTCATCGATTGGTTGGCTCGGTCGTCGTCTTCCTCTTCCCAGGTCACCTCTGACACCTACAGCCAACGTCGGTGGGTACGTCAGACACAACCGTTAGTTGGCATGGCCCGGGACCAAGCCCACTGAAATCACGTGTCCTCTACCTGCCCCTGTCCTTTGGTGTTCCCTCACCAAGCGAAGTATCGCATGCTGTGGGCTCAGCCCCACTGTACAGTGAGGGAAAGAGCTAACAGAGGGCGGTCAGGAACGGGGGGAGACATCCGCCTTTTCAGCAGCCAGGCGAAGAAGTAGTGGCGAGGAGAGTGGCTCGGTAGCCGGTCTAGAGACAGGTCTGTCTCCTGACCCAGACGCAGCCGAGGGGGCTAGTAGTGAGGCGGAGACCCTACTTGATGATGAGGAGGTTGATCGCACTTGGCAGCCTCGTCGTCATCAGGCAATTTCTTCCGCATCATCAGGAGAAGAGGGTGGCAGCTTGGCAGCGAGCAAAAACAGTCGGTGGGTTGCCCAGGAGGCAGCAGGGTCGCAGCAGTGTCAGTGGAGCCAAACGGCCACGGAGTAGAGCACCAGCTCCACTGCAGCCTACCACCACGGCCAGTAGTGGTGCCGGTGTGCACGGAGGAAGCAGCAGTCAGCCAGTGAGGAGTATCGGGGGCAAAGTTTCCTACTCGGCGGTGTGGCAATTTTTCGTCAAGCCGCCCGAGGAAGTAAACGTAGCCGTATGTCGACTATGTGGCCAGAAAGTCAAGCGTGGCCAGGGGGCCCATGTTGGGACTACAGCGTTGCGGCAGCATATGCAGCGTCGCCATTTGGTGGCCTGGGAAAACCGTGATAAAGATACGGCGGTTCTGCCCGCCCCAGCCCCCGCTCCATCACCCGCTCCGTTACTTGCTCCGTCACCCGACGTCAATCGCCCTCTATCAGCCAGTCAAGGCTCCAACACCTCTGCTGAGGGGAGTTGTCGCTCGTTGGCATCTTCCGCTCGTTCAGATGCTCCTTCTCCTGCTACTCCTCTTCACGGATTCCGTCAGCAGTCTTTCTTGGAATCCGTTTCCAAGAGACAACAGTTTGCGAGCACGCACCCGACGGTGCAAAAGCTGAACGTCCTCCTGTCCAAGTTGCTGGTGCTGCAGTCCCTCCCTTTCCAAGTGGTGGACTCAGCACCTTTCCGAGAAATGATGGCTTGTGCCGCGCCGCGGTGGAGAGTGCCAAGCCGTCATTTCTTCGCCAAAAAGGCAGTGCCAGCCCTGCATTCACATGTAGAAGAGATGGTGGGCCAGTCTTTGAGCATGTCGGTCTCTGCCAAAGTGCACGGCAGCGCCGACGTGTGGAGCTGTAACTACGGTCAGGGACAGTACATGTCATTTACGGCCCACTGGGTGAACGTGGTGCCGTCACACAGCCGCACCAGCAACTTGGACAGGTCACGCCGCTTTTGCCTCCACGTTTGCACGTCCTTGGTCCACAAAAGATGTCCGCCTCTACCACCTCTTCTTCCGCCGTGTCCTCAGCCGCCACCCCCCCCCCTGTGCCAAGTCCCATTACCCGACCGGCATATCACATGTGCAGGGCGCAACGGTGTCACGCTGTGCTGCACCTGGTATGCCTTGGCGAACGTAGTCACACAGGGGAGGAACTTCTCAGTGTAATGAACAGAGAAATCGACAGATGGCTGTCTCCGCGCAAACTGAAAATCGGAACCATGTTGACCGACAACGGAAAGAACATGGTGTCTGCTCTGCGTCAAGGAAGGTTGTGCCATGCGCCATGCATGGCTCACGTGTTCAATCTGGTTGTCAAGCGGTTCCTAAAATCCACCATCCCACTGCAAGACATCCTTAAAATGTCACGTAAACTTTGCATGCATTTCAGCCATTCCTACACCGCAAAGCACACCCTCCTTGAGCTGCAGCGGCAGAACGGAATTCCACAGCATCGCCTGATCTGCGACGTTGCAACAAGGTGGAATTCAACCCTACACATGTTAGACCGCCTTTACGAACAGCGAAAGGCCATCACCGATTTCCTGATGTTACAAGCGGATAAAGGTACTCCCCTGTGTAACTTCGATGTCAGCCATTGGCAGCTCATGCGTGACACCTGCCGCTTGCTCAGGCCCTTTGAGGAGGCCACGCTATTCGTGAGTCGGCAGGACTATGGGATGAACGACGTCATTCCTCTGTTGCACGTCCTGGAACAAATGCTGTTAACAATGGCTGGTCAGGGTGCGGTAGACGTGGCGCACAGATCTCAACGCCACATGACCCCTGTGGGGGCAGGACAGGAAGAAGAGGAGGAGGTAGAGGAGGACATTTGTGCTCAGGAATTATTGAGTGAAATGGGTGGTTTTTCCACTCAGCGGACAGGAGTGGAGGAGCAGGAGCATCTGGTAGAGGAGGAGGAGGAGGAGACAGAGGACCCAGACGCACCGTGGCAGTATGCTGTGGAGATGGAGGCAGGGAGTCCCTCGCATTCCTTGGCACAAATGGCCCATAGCATGCTCGGTTGCTTGCGTAGCGACAGCCGAATAATAACCATCAGACAGAGGGATGACTTTTGGCTGTCCACCTTGTTGGACCCTCGCTACCGTTCAAAAATGGTGGCCTTTTTCACACCTGCTGAGAGGGAGGCCAAAATAACGTACTATAAAAACCACCTATGTAGTCAGTTGGTCTCTGCCTTTGTGCGCCAACGTCCATCCTCAGACACTGTGGGCCCTGTGCGCTCGCGTTCCGCTGCCATGGCAGCAGGGAGGGGTGGGGTGGTAGGAGCAGTGGCAGCTCCACCAGCAGCGGCTGCCTCAGTCTGCAGTCGATGATGAGTAGCTTTCTTCACCAGCGCAGTGAGGAAACTACTAACCAGCCGCAGCAGCAGCAGCAGC